GGGGGCGGCTGACTGACCCCCCAATCTGATGCTGCCTGCATAATTCTGGGTCCAACGCCACTTGGCAAAGCCAGCAGCATGACACCAATTCTCTTCTTAGACGTCTGTAAGGGTAGCATTCCGATGACCACCATAAGGGTTGCATTTCTGACCACCAATGATGAAGAGGCATTTTTGCTATTCCCCCCCCCAATGAACTGGTTTTAGTAAGGGTTCCCAGAGACTTAAAAAAAGATTTTAGGGGTTCCTCTGGGGTAAAATAGTTGAACAAGGCTGGACTAGCAGAGATGAAGCATGTCACCTGTGCTTTATATAATATAATTTGGGTTGATAAGGGTTATGCAGGTACAGGAGGTCAAGTGATTACAATTCCCTGAATCCAATGGAAAGTTGCGTCAATGCTACTGCTGCTGTATGCAGTCTTTTTTTTAGCCTTCTCTGGGTGATCATATAACATGTTGTCATTATGTCACTCTTTTTTATGGAAAATTGTACGTAGGACTCTACCACTGGAATAATTTCTCAATTTGCAGTCCAAACTTCACCGGTGAGCCATGGTTATCAGAGGGCTGGGTCTGGTGTGGGGATATAAATGACCAGGCTCCATCTACTCATCCACAGTCTCCGCTCCATCCACCTCTCCAGATCTCTCTGTTCCAATCGCCCATCACTCGCCATGTGTACGGGGAAATGCTCCAGGTTCATCGGGATCTCCCTCTACCCCCTGGTTGTCTTTGCCATTGTCTGCAACGTGATCCTGTTTTTCCCGGGATGGGAGACTGGACCCATACAGAACCCAGAAAGTCAGATGACACCAGAAGTTCTGTATCTGGGCGGAGTCATCGGCAGCGGATTACTGGTAGGAATGTTATGCTCATTTAGAATTTCTAAGCGCATATTCCAAATCAAGCAATAGTTAAAGGGTGGGTCCATCCACAAATGTGACAGTGCAAGCACTGGGGTGGGCTTCCTAAGGGTTCATGAAGGTGGGCTTTGTTAGTGAATGGTGCGTTTTCCGAGCAGTTTCAGCATCCAGTGCAGTGCTACTCAAACACATGCATTGGAACGCAAAAACTGTTTTGCCTGCAATGCGAATGGATCCTAAAAGGACCATCTGCAACCAAAGATATGATCAAACGCAACCTCAGAACTGTCAGCTACACTACAAAACTGCAGTCAGAAGAGGGCAGTGTGGCTAAATGATCAGAGATAGACCACATATACCAGACTCTCCCAACCAGGGTTCCGTGAAACCATAGAATTCCTCCAGAGGTTGCTGGGGGGGTTCCATGAGCAGTGGCAGAGTCAGTGGCAATTTCCCACTGACATCCAAAATAAAGGGTCACTTCAACACTGATCACCAGGGGCTTTTCTCCAATGACTTCAATGCGAGAGGACATTTTTAGCATTTTCCGCCAATGTAAAGGGGACAATTTTCCACGGTAAGTGGACACTACAATATTTCTTTTTTTGGCCATTTGTATTTGTTTCTTTTATTTAATACTGCTGCATAGAGTAGGGGAGTCTTGTAAGATAATCCACTCTTGGGGGCTGATGTATAAACGTTCCACCAAGGGGTTCATGTATAAATGTTCCACCAAGGGGCTGATGTATAAATGTTCCACCAAGCAGCTGATGTAAGGACGTTCCACCAAGTGGCAGATGTATGAACGATTCACCAAGGGGCTGATGTCTGAACGATCAACCAAGGGGCTAATGTATGAATGTTCTACCAAGGGGCAGATGTATAAACGTTCCATTAAGGGGCTAATGTATGAATGTTTCACCAAGGGGCTAATGTATGAATGTTCCACCAAGGGGCAGATGTATGAATGTTCCACCAAGGGGCAGATGTATGAACATTCCATCATTGATGGAACATTTATACATTAAACCCTTGGTGGAACATTTATACATCAGCTCCTTGGTGGAACATTTATACATCAGCTCCTTGGTGGAACATTTATACATCAGCCCCTTGGTGAAGGGGCAGAAGTATGAATGTTCCACCAAGGAGCCTCTCACCCCCTGTATGGAACATTTATACATTAAACCCTTGGTGGAACATTTATACATCAGCTCCTTGGTGGAACATTTATACATCAGCCCCTTGGTGGAACATTCATACATTAGACCCTTGGTGGAACATTTATAGATCAGCCCCTTGATGGATAATTCCTACATTAGCCCCTTGGTGGATCGTTCATACATCTGCCCCTTGGTGGAACATTCATACATCAGCCCCTTGGTGTCAAATACCTTAGCTATGCCACTCTTGGGGGCTAATGTATAAACATTCCACCAAGGGGCTGATGTATAAATGTTCCACCAAGGGTGATGGTTCCACCAAGGCTGAACGTTCATACATCAGCCCCTTGGTGGATCGTTCATACATCAGCCCCTTGGTGGATCGTTCATACATCAGCCCCTTGGTGGAACGTTCATACATCAGCCCCTTGATGGAACATTTATACATCAGCCCCTTGGTGGAACATTTGTACATCAGCCCCTTGGTGGAACATTCGTACATCAGCCCCTTGGTGGAACATTCGTACATCAGCCCCTTGGTGGAACATTCGTACATCAGCCGCTTGGTGTCATTACCTTAGCTATGCCCTTTTCTTTATCCTTCTATTTAAAACGTTCTACAACTTAGTGATCACGCTAACTGTGATCTGTAGCTGTTCCCTGAGACCACAAAATTATTTCAAGGGGATAAAAAGTCTGAGGAAGGTTGATCCATACCGAGTAATTATATGGGTGATAATGGCAATAATGATATTTTTTCCAGCATTTATTCCTGAAAATATATGTCTTCATCAATTTAATATTATTTTAATTTTCCCTAGGTCCTGATCCCAGCCATCCACATCCAAGCGACAGGACGGGAGGGTTGCTGCAACAACCGCTGTGGGGTATGTTCCTGATTGGATTTGTATTTCTGCCCATCAAGTCCTTTAATTTACACAGCTCTGCCACACAGCACAGCCATGTCTGGCTGGGCAGGAGACCTGATTTTTCTCTTCTGCAGTTAAGTAACACTTACAGGTCTTGCCCCTCCCCCAGCCTGTGTTTGGACAGTGAAAGGAGACGGATAAGATTGATGAGCTCATCTCTATGTCGTTCTGCTCTCTACTCCTATCAGCATGTTCCTTGTTAGAACCCCAGTACTCCTCTCAAGAGCCCTCAGCCCTGATGAAAGCAGTGGGCTGGTTCTTGGGAGGAGTGATGCCAATATCAAAAATGCCGTAATGGGTGAATGTCATTATGGAGGAGAGGGTGCTCCTAGGTAGGCAAGCTGAATTGTGAATGGTTGCATTGGGTTACCTCCTGTATGTTATGCTGATCCCCTGGCTTCAATACTCTACGAGTCACCGAGTCATAATAAGTGTGCAGATGGCAGAGGTCAGAGCTCCATATACGAGTCCTTGTCCCACAAGTTCTAGTTTTGGGTCGGGGGTTTAGAAATGGCTATATGATTATATTAAAGTCCAAAGTTGCACCTATAAAGGGAAATCTGAAGCATGTGACCTGAGTCCTCCTGACAGCACATGAAATATACGTGTCATTCTAAGGGACATAAAAAGTCACCTGACCGTCTGCGATACAATTATCTTATCTAATGTGTAATAATGGAAAAAGCTGGTTTAGCCACCTGACTGTACACGGGTCACTAGAGCATCCTTCTCCGCCACTACCTGGGCTCCCCCTACTGGATTAAAGTGTGTATGGCAAGAAGGGGTGGTGACAACTTCAGCCTGAAGCTGGTGAGATATAATGGCGGCTCCTGAGAGGCGGAGCTGGGAACTCCAGCAGAATGATCTCAACCCTCATGCCCTGGAACACCATACAAAGATGTTTGATTCTCCTAGCTGTTGCCTAGGGAGGGGGTTCTTTGAGATAACACAGGAAGTGAGCAGAGGACACAGGACAGCTCTGAATTTCTGGCAGGGCCAACGGGTAATGTTTTGCACTTAAGGTGTACATACACTTTAAGGAAACCTTGCACCAGATTCCAATATCTGAGTTCAGGAGATTGCAGTCAGAAAGGTGGAGAGATTATCAGGAGCCGAGTTTTGTACTCTCTGCGTCATATTGGGTATTCTGGGAGTTATCAGACGCGGATTGACGATGAGGCGGCTGAATGAACTTTTACTGGAAAGATCGTTCTACAAATGGAGGCCTACGGGGCTTTGTGCTTTATTATACCATAGACCTTCATATTATTCTATATTGTATTATACTGGGGTGATAATGGGGTATTGTGATATGTTATACTAGTTAAAATATTTTATATTTCAGGAACGTGTGGTGAGGTCATTGGCAGGTGAGGCACCCCCAGCCCATCCCCTGCCCCGTCCCTGGCCTGTTCACCAAACTATGTGTGAACGAGGGAGGAAACAAGGAAGACCTGCCCTGTCCCTCACTTGCTCTTCACTAATGAGGCATCTAGATGGATGCTGTCAGTGTTTTTTTTTTGATTGGACGGCAAAGCGCCATTGGTCCAAACCATCCACAGAGCTCAAGCTTCTGACTCCAAGTCAGAGGCTGTTGTAGCTCTAACCTCATTGTGTTAGGTTACACACAGAAATGGGGAAGCCCGCTGCTGTGTAACCTACAAACCTGTACCTTTTAGGCAGCACTCCGTCCATGACATGTTATACAGTGGGAAGACTTTCCCCTCTGTATAACCTGTTATAAGCCGGTCTGAATGGAGAAAAAGCTGTCAGCTTCAGACTTTTTCTTTCATGATGGCAGGCTCAGCCTCCCCAGAGCACACGTCCCTGTTCTATTATACTATATTATGCTATGCTTTGCTATGTTATAATATTCTATAACAGTGGTTCTCAACCTGTGGGTCGGGACCCCCTCGGGGGTCGAATGACGATTTGCCAGGGGTCGCCTAGTCAGAAAAAAAACCCCACCATAGGAATGCATAGCTAGATTCCTATTGGCTATTTCACTTTGCAAAAGCCAATAGCAAACTAGCTATTGCAACCGCCCTCTGATGCTGCCAATCAGCAGAGGGGGACCTGAAGTTCTCCACCAGGTCCCCTTCTAGTGATTGACAGCAGCAGAGGGCGGGTGCAATATGTATGTATTCAAGCAAAAAAATATGTAAAACACACCTCTAGCTATGAATTCCATTTTCCCGGTCCGCAGCTGCAGAGATCAGGCAATGTCTCAGTGCCTGTGATTGACACTGCAGACTGTCAGCTTCCTGGCGGGCTCGGCACGTGGAGCTGCGAACACGCCCGAGCCCATCCCTATCAGTGACAGTACTGCGGAGTAGGTACCTCATACGTTATATAGCCACACACTTTAAATCCAATTCTTCTAGTTCCAGCTGCAGAACCCGGTCCGGTCTTTGCCTATAGCAGTGGTTCTCAGCCTGTGGGTCGCTGTGCAAGGTGAGAGTCCTCCTCAGCTCTCTCCTAGCGCAGCAGTGTCAGTTCTCCTCCCACGCCTCCAGATGTCGCTGCAGCAGCCGCCTCATCCCTAAATTTTACCTTTGGGGGTCACCACAACTTGGCAAATGTTACGAAGGCGTCCCGGCCCTAGAAAGGTTGAGAACTACTGTTCTATAAAAAGGTATATAATCCTATGCTATACTAGTGTTATACTATTCTACATTATACTAGAATATTGTACATTATGCTATACCAGGGGTAGGCAACCTCGGCACTCCAGTTGCGTTGAAACCACAAGCCCAATCATGCCTTTGTCTCTGGGAGTCCTGCTTATGGCTGTAAGAGTTTTTGCAATGCCTCGTGGGACTTGTAGTTTTACAAAAGCTGGAGTGCCAAGGTTGCCTACCCCTGTGCCACAGTATACTAGTTTCTAATATTCTATAGTATACACTATTTGGGGATATGATGTATGTTATACTAAGTTATTATATGCTGTATTATACTTTATAATGGTATATAATGTTATGCTTTACTAGTTTATACTGTTTGTTATGATATTATAATATGGTATATAATGCTACAGTAATACCTTGGTTTAAGAGCATAATTCGTTCCGGAAGCATGCTTGTAATCCACTTTACTGTAGCATTGTATATTAAGCGATATTGTTCTATACTATACAATGCAGCGCTGTTCTATTTACTATACTCTGTTTGCTATATTATATTATACTATTTTATGCTGTACTACTATGCAATTGGCATTATTGTATTATTTTATACTTTATGATCTTTTTCTGCATTATACCATATATGCCAACAGAACTTGGAAAAAGGGGAAAGGTAGATGAGGTTTATATTGCTGTTTGTGTCTCTGTTGGGGAGATTTTGTCCCACTTCCTGTTCCAGAGTCCACACACAAGAGACGCTCTAACCCTTCCCTACTCTCTCCAAGCTATCCTTGTCTGGAATCCTACTTTAAGGTCATAACAATTAGGACTTCCATTGGTGCATGACATATTTACCCCCTTCTCTCCCGCAGATGTTCCTGTCAATCATCTTTGCTGCTATCGGTGTGGTTGGATCGCTGTATGGTTTTGTGGTATCCATTGTGGGCATGGTGAAAGGACCAGTATGCCAGTATTGGCCTTCGCTAAGCGTAACTCAACAGCCTATATGGGGCCGACCCTTCGACTCCAAGCTAGAAGATTTCAGGTAAGACCTGCCAAACATCTGCAACTGATACAAGCACCAGTCTTATGGAAAGGCCTTCCTTCCCCCTTGCAGAAAAATACATAAGTTGTTTGAAACAATTTCGGGTAACAGCAGTAACAGCAATGGAGAAACTTTTGAAGACTTCAAGTACTTTTGATAGTCTTCAAATGAATCCCTGTGTAATTTCCAGGGCTCCTTGGATCCAAGGCCCTGACTGTACATGGAACCTTGACTTCAACCCAAGTCGATATTAAGCCCTGCCCCCTGTCATCAACCGTTACGTTCCATGGCCTCTATTTCCCACTGAAGTTCTAGATATAAACATTTGAGTTTCATTGGGGTAGAATGCTGGAGGTGAAGCTTTGTCTCAAGATAAGTATGGTGATAATGATGATGAGATGATATGAAGCCTTGCCCCTTGTCACTAACTCTCAAATCCCATGGCCTCTACTGCCCACTGAAGTTCTAGATATAAACATTTCAGGTTTAGAAGGGTAGAAAGCTGGAGGTGAAGATTTGTCTCAAGATGATTATGATGATGATGAGATGATATTAAGCCTTGCCCCTTGTCACCAACTCTTATGTTCCATGGCCTCTACTGCCCACTGAAGCTCTGGATATATACATTTGAGTTTCAGCGTGGTAAAACACGAGAGGTGAAACTTTGTCTCAAGATGAGTAGTTGAGGCTCCAGATAGGCTCATGGATTGATATGTTATACTGTATGTTCCTACAGACCGCAAGAGATACAACCTTTCAGAACATTTTAAGCCAGGTTAACTTGAACATTTGTTGACTTGAAGAGTAGGCAGTTTGTTGAACTACTAATCTAACAGTTCGGTTTTGGGTGGACAGGCACTGAGTGGGTGAGTTGTGAAGTTCCCAGCACACAGTTCCACAACACAAACTGTCCAGGGTCAACAAGGAGGACCTGGCCAGAAGTGGCAGGCAGGGTGGCAGACTGGAACATTTTGTTACACACATGGACATGTTATTGGAAATCAGCAACATGATAGTGTGTTGGTGGCTGCGTGCGGCTCCTAACAGCCTGCCATCCTAGACCACGGTCTTTGTTGGCAACAGTTGTTGCAAAGAAGACTCAGTAGAAGACCTGGGACATGTGCCCTGGGTACCCAGGTTCTACTAGACAGGTAGACAGCCTCCTTGCATTTCAAGGCTCCATATATGTATGAAGTGAATGTTTAACCATGGTACCTCTAAACAAGAGGCAGAGCCTACACGAGGGTCAGTAGGGTGAGGACTCCGCACCATGTCAAGTCTGTCCAGCTGTGTCCATTGGACCCTAGAGTTTTCAGAAATGACAATAAGAGGGTAGAGGAGCTCTTTCAGTGCTGCACCTACTTGGGAAAGCCACGTTTTAAAAGGCATGGAATAAACATTTGTTGATTTTTATTGTCTTTCTTTCTTCCAGTGAAGACAATTACCTGTTCAACAAAGCTTTGTGGAACACCTGCATCAACCCCGTGGGAGTAGTGGAGTTCAATGTCATCCTGTTCTCGATGGTGCTAACGGCCTCCGGCATCTCCCTCATCCTCTGTACCATCCAGGTGATCAATGGGCTCTTTGGCTGCCTCTGCGGAACCTGCAGGAAAAATGACTTGCAATAACCACTAGCACAGGTGCGGATGATTCTCATTATTGAAGGAACCCTGACATGTAGGCTGCCACTGCTGAAAATGCTAGCCATCGGGCTATCATTATAAACCTCTGGCTTCAGTACTTTCAGGAACGAGCTTAGTGTAAATAAGTGCCATAAAAGTGTCATTATTCCTTATTTATTTACATGTTCTGGTTCAGAGGTCAGATCTACTAAGCACTGAAGACATTGGATTAGCATTATAGCCAGGGAACTAATATTTCTAAAGGACCGGGCCAGCAATGGCAGCCTAAAAAGGTTCTCTAATCATAAGGTTTACTTTAACTGCAACTGCTTCAGCTGTAGGTGTGTGCACGTTACACGATGAATATGGAGGGTGATCAGGATATCTCATAATATATGAGAACCCAGATTAGATGTGAAATGAGCCTCTCTGCTCCCAGTGTACTCCACATGTATCTGCACACAGTAATCCTACTGCTAATGGACTGTGGAGCTTCAAAACCCAGAAGAACTCCACATCAGATGTGATGACAGAACATAACCTAATGTAATATAACATATTGTATTGTAGCTCAGCGTTTCTCAACATTTTTCAAGTCACCCAGCGCCCTTAAAAAATATGCAAATTCTCGAGGCACCCCAATCTACAATGTAAATAACCTAAATGTGAAATAACATGTGTGATCCCCCCAAAACTCATACCAGATCCTTATCCTAGGTAGGGGTCTGCTATGGATTTTAAATGTGGGCTTCCCCCTTAACATCAGATACCCCTAGCCCTTTCACATTAGTATCTCCCCACTTCACATCAGAGTCCTCCTTTACATCAGGAGCCCCCTCTTTACATCAGACTCCCCCCTCTTCACATCAGAGTTCTCCCCCTTTTTTACATCAGAAGACCCTTATATATCAGGAGCCAACCTTCCCATCAGACACTCCTCTTCACATCAGAGTCCCCTTCACATCAGAGTCCTCCCTTTCACATCAGAAGCCCCTTTCATATCAAGACCCCCCCCCCCCCTTCCCATCAGACACTCCTCTTCACATCAGACTCCTCCTTTACATCAGGAGTCCTCCTTCACATCACGAGTCCCCCTTCACATCAGAGTCTCCCTTTCACATAAAGTCCTCCCTTCACATCGGAGTCCCTCTAACACATAAAGTCCTCCCTTTTCACATCAGAAGCCCCTTTCATATCAAGACCCCCCCCCTTTCCATCAG